CACTCCTGCGCCCTGATGGCTCCGAAGTGAGCGGCGCGACACATCCGCGCAACTGCACCGTCTGCCCCAAAGCTGCGTTGAGCCACCAACCGTTCCCGCTGCTCGAACCTGGAACGAACCGCTACCCCAAGCTGCACAAGGTGTACAGTGATTTCCTGAACGTGGGGCATTGCGGAGTCGAAGACGAGCTATACACGCTCACCTTCATCGACGCTGGAACGCGCTATGTGTGGGTCGTGAACGTGGAGACCCGCGACAGAGCCTACGAGGTGTTTCGGCTCTGGTTAGCACATGCGGAGCGGCAATCTGGGAAGTGTTATAGTCACAGTAGACTCCAATAGGCTTCAATGTGCCTAGAGCCAAAGATAGAGTGCGCAGTCAGATTTCTGCACAGCAGCTTCAAACGTTCATAGCGATCTGCTCACAACTCCAATTGACTTCATTCAACTTGGATCTGGAGCGTCTTAACGTCGCCTACACTAGGCAATTTAGATCGCACGATTTCATTAAGATTTGACGACACAGCGTCAGTTTGAGCGAACGGCACTATGGCAGCAACATAGTCTTAGGACACACAATTACGAAAAACTAGAGAGAGTTTACGAGTTGGGAAGGACTCCCAGCTCCTACAAACCCCAAGAACCGAGCTACAGTGATGGGGAACAGTGCCACACTGTCCCCAACCAAGAAGGGTCTCGAAACTACCCTCCACAAGGGTCTACACCCATAGAAATGTTACACTACAAATTGTAATGTAACAATCTTCAATATCTTGAGGTGTACCCTTTTGGCCAGCTTCGAAATCACTTGAAGCTTGAACCAAGGCTCGGGTTCTTCATCACAAAACTCATCCTTGAGTTCTTGATGGGTCTGCTGCACACACCTGCGACACGCCGAACGTTCGACAAGCGACAAAATAGAAACCGCGCACGACAAAATAGAAACCGCGCGGGACACACAAAATAACCGCGTAATACGCGGCTAGCGATAACTCGCTATTGACTCGACACACACACTTGACATCATGACCCATCATTCACACACCATTATAAGCATGAAACATAAATTTGTTTCATGCACCCATACCACTCCATGCACACACGCATGCACACACACGCACACGGACAACAAGCCGAGTGCAAACCGTAGGTTGCACCAACAGGAAGAAGCTCAAAATCTGGCAATCTGACGGCGCGGCAGAGTTCAGGAGCAATCAGATGCAGACATTCCTGGCGCAAAAGGGGATCGAGCACCACATCTCCCTCCCCTACGCGCACCAGCAGCAGGGCGTAGCTGAGCGGACGAACCGCACACTGATGACGAAGGTGCGGGCGCTAATGAAGTTGTCAAAATTACCGCCGATCTATTGGACCTACGCGATGCACCACGCCGTACGGGTGCACAACCTGCTTTCGACCACCGCCATCACCGGCAACTTGTCCCCGCACGTCAAGTGGCACGGGACTAAGGGGGACACATCGATGCTGCGCGTATGGGGGTGCATGGTGCAGTACCGCCCGCCAACATCAACCATCGGCAAATTCGCCAGCCGCGCGCGCTGGGGAATTCACCTCGGCATCAGCCACGAGTATAAGGTGTGGATCGTGCTGGATCTTCTCAGCCAGAAGACCGCCCATGCTCGCGACGTAATTTTCTACGAGCGTCTCTTCCTCGACCAATTCCGCTACGACGAGCAAAGGAATGCAGATCGCGTCTACGCGAACAACGGGCACAGCTACGCAACGCCTGAAGACGAAGCCGCTGCAGCAATCCTGGAGCAGGACACAAGGGGAGAGTTTGCATGGGAGGATCGGCGCAGCAGCGACGACGACGACGATGATTCCTCGGGAGGAGGAATAGGCGGAACAGGCGGAAGCGGAACAGGCGGAAGCGGCGGAGGCGCAGCACCACCAGCACCACCTGAACCTGAAAGCGATGACGACGATGTGCAGGAAGTCATCCCGCAACGTCGCCACGACAGCACCGTTTCGGGACTGCAGCTGCTCGGGCTTCACACCGCAACCTCGAAGGCGCCGCGCATCATCGAGCCCCGAAATCCGCGCGAGGAACTCTCTGGGCCACACAGCAAGGAATGGCGCGAGGCGATGGACGCGGAAATCAAGGCGCTGGAATCACGAGATACCTGGGTACTCGTCGACCGCGCAGCAATCAAAGGCGCAAGGGTCCTCTCGGGGAAGTGGGTCTTCCGCGTGAAGACCGCAGCGGATGGGACGATCGAGCGCTTTAAGGCGCGATGGGTGGTTCGCGGCTACGATCAGAGGCACGGGATCGACTTCGACCAGACGTTCGCCCCGGTTAGCCGTCACACCTCCGTCCGCATTCTGCTCGCCATCGCAGCTGCAAGGCACTTACCACTCCGCCAGATCGACGTGAAGAACGCGTTCCTGTACGCGTTAGTGGACGCCGTGATTTACGTGGAGCAGCCGCACACCTACGGCGAAGGAGACTCGCGCGTGTGTCAGCTGCGCAAGTCACTCTACGGCATTAAGCAGGCTCCAAGGCTGTGGCAGCAGTACCTGCACAACATCCTGCTTGAAATTGGATTCAAGCAGATGCCGCACGACCCAGGGATGTACCGCCGCGACTTCCGCGGCGAATACATTCTCCTCACGGTGTACGTCGACGACCTGCTTTACACAGGCTCGAGCAACGAGCTTCTCGAGCAGTTCGAGAAGGCCCTGGCGGGGCGCGTCGACATCACGTGCAACTACGAGGTGAAGCAGTTCCTAGGCCTCAACATCTCCTACGCGCCTGAGGCCATTCACCTCTCAGCGGCTAAGTACGCAGAGGAGTTAGGGAAGCGGTTCAACATCTCACCTGCACCCCTCTCAACTCCCTACCGAACCCCCGGACCGAACCACAAACCTGACAACAAAGCCCTATCCCCTGCTGGGATTCAGACTTACCAGCAGCAGTTGGGATGCCTCCTCTTCGCCTCTGTCACCTGCAGGCCAGACCTCTCGTACATCGCAAGTCAGCTTGCGCAGTACTCCCGCAAACCAACGGCTGAGAATCTTCTGGACCTGCAGCGCGCTCTTCAATTCTTCGTTTCAACGCCCAAGATTGGGCTGTGCTACTCAACTGCACCAACCCCATCCTTCAACCTCGTCGGCTACGTGGACGCCGATCACGCAGCAGACCCTGATAATCGACGGTCCAGGACTGGCTTCTTGTTCCGACTCGAGCCATCGGGGCCAATCTCCTGGAATTCACAGAAGCAGGAGTTGGTTGCCCTGTCATCAGCCGAAGCGGAATTCATCGCAGCAACCGCAGCAGTTCGCGAAGGCCTCTACCTACAGGAACTCCTGCAGGAGGCGAAAATTCCAGCTTCGCCAACCTTTCGACTTCACTGCGACAACCAGAGCGCGATTCGCATCGCGAACAAACCTGGTTTCGTCAATCGCACCAAGCACATTGCGCTGCGATACTTCTTCGTGAAGGACGAGGTGGACAAGGGCAAGGTCAACTTGACCTATTGCCCGACCGGTGACATGGCAGCAGACTTCCTCACGAAGCGACTGCCACGCCAGCAGTATCAACACTGCTCCGAACTCAGCGGCGTGGTCAAGCAGGTCAAGTCGAGCTACGGCCAGGAGTGAAGGGGGGTGTTACGAATAGTAATATTTGATATTACTGTGCACTCCTCACCGCAGCAAAAAGGAGCAGGCAATATCGGGAATGAACGCGAAGCGTCAGACAGTTGGAATTGAACCGAAGAGTCAGATGGTTGCAGCACATCTGGGCCGTCGGAGCAGATGGCATCGGGCAGCTTCAGGCAGGATGGTTTTGGCGGGAACAGTTACGAAACTGTACGCGCCGCACGGTTGGAATGAATTTGAATAAGGGAATGTACCCCTTAGAGTACATGGCTAGTTAGGTCGTTTCGTATTCCCTTGTACTCATATTTATATTTCTTGTACTTGCATGTTTTATTCATCTCAAGCATTTTACATTCACTCTGCTATTGAGGTCAAGGGCCCACCAATATTGCCTTCCTACGTGCGAACCTTCCTGAGTAGATCCTAGGCCACGATCAACTTCTGATCGCAGCACCTCCTAGCTAGGCTAGCCCCTACATTAGTCTGTGCTTTCATTGTATTCTCAGTTCATTCAATCACAGCCTCGTTATTTGTTTACCTGCGCACTCTCTTTTACAACTCATAACACTTAAGGCATGATTTATTATTGTGTGCTCGTTTTTGTAACATTAGTCACGTGAACCAACCAATCTTGGGGTCCTCCTGGTCAAACCCCACGCTTCCCAAACCAGCACCAGGCTTTTGGTCAGCGACGTCAATGGATGAAGGTGGTTTGGGGTTGTAAGAAATGAATGACGTGGCACCCGCTTTGCCAGCGCCCAACGGATACACCTACCGTCTTTTCGCGCCATTTTGTTACGTGTCTGGTAGGTTCGCCATAGCGAAGTAGAAATGCTATGGCCATCTTGCGCCTGCCATTCTCCAACAGATTTTCGTTCTGATTCGGGGTAGCGCAAGCCCCAGCCCACAACACCACCAGACAACTCCCTTTTCACCACGTTTGCGCGTAGGAGGTCTGTACAGCATCGATAGCAATCTTTACATTCTTATCTTAGCTGAAACACGCGTTAGAAAACCCCTCATTTTTTTTCATTGTCGTACTTCTATCCTTCCAGCCTTGGCCATTCCCGCTTTCATCAATGGACGAGTCGCGCAACCGTTGCATATCACCGCAGCCGCCGGCGCCTCGCGTCTCCATCCGTCGCAATCCGTCGGATCGTACGGCTGCCACTGCGTCCGATCGTACTATGGCGGCTGCTTGCATCGCGTGTGCGCCGTGCGACATTGATCGGCTTCCAGATGTCATCCTGCTGAGCATCATACACCACGCCATCACCAGCACCAGCACCAGCAGCAGCAGCGCCTCCCTTTCTTCGACCGCCACCGCCAGCAGCAGCAGCAACTGCGAAGCCGTAGATGGACCGACGACCGCAATCGGCGATGCAACAAGTACTAATACCACCGATAAAACCAGCACTGGCTCTCCATACTCAGCCGACTCATGCCCTAACGCCATGACCATCCGCAAAGGCAGGGGGTACAAGCAACAGCAGCGCCTGCCCTGCAAGGACCCTACATGCTCCTGCCGCACCGCAGAGAACGCCGCAATCGCCCCCACCCCCCCGCTGCTCACCTGCGCGCTCGTATCCCCCCGCTGGCTGCGCCTCTCTGCGCTTCTTCCCCGCGCCATCACTGTTCCCGCGGGCCTCCTCATACACCCCCGCGCCCTCCTGCGAACGCTCTCCGCCTTCCCCCACCTGCGCGCCCTCACGCTACACGGAGATTCTTGCCGAAGCCTCAGCAGCAGCAGCAGCAGCAGCAGAGGGGCCATCAGTGATTGACTCATCGCGCGTCTGGCAGCGCTGCCGCAGCTGACGTCACTGTCGCTCGTTGGCGTCGCGGCAATCCCAAGGCTCGCCCCCTTGGCGCCCTCCCTGCTGTGCTTGGAGATCCGCGGCGCAGGGGAGGGGGTCACGCGTCTCCCCGGAAAATGCCTAGCGCAGCTGACGTGTCTGCAGGAGCTGGTTTTGAGGGACTGCTTGGCGCTGCGGCAGCTTCCGGCGTCGCTTGCGCTGATGCCGTCGCTGCAGCGGATTCGCGTGGAAGGATGCTATGCGGTGATGCTTGATGCTTGGACGCCCAGGGATGGTTTGGCGGCGGCTGTGCCTTTTTTGAAGGAGGAAGAGGAGCGAGAGGAGGGGGAAGGGCGAAGGAATGGCATCACACGTGTTTATGGTGGGGCCGTGGTTGCTCCGGTGGTGTCGGAGGGTGCAGGGGGTGCGAGTGGTGGGGAGGATGTGGAGGCAAGCTGTGGGCAGCAACGACCGCCTCAGTGGCGAAGGCAACAGCGGCGGCAACGGAAGAAGCTCCACCGCTGCCGTGAGAAGGCTCTGCTGCAGCAGCAACAGACTCCGCCTTTTTTGCCACCACAGCAGCAGCAGCAGCAGGTGTCACAGGTTGACTGTCAGAGTGGTGTCACCACTGTCACGGCAGCAGCACAGCCACGCCAGCCTCTCTTCTTCTCCAAGCTGCAACATTTCGAGCTTGCTGATGTGTCAGCCCTGCATCAGCTGCCACGTGGCATCCTCCAGCACCACTCACTCAAGCACCTCGTGCTGGACGGCTATTCAGGCGGCTCCCTTTCTGTTACTGGCAGTGTTGACCCCGAGTCAACCGAGTCAACCAGGTCAATGCTCGAACCTCCCATCCGCATGCCCAGCCTGCAACATCTGGTTCTGCGCAACCTTCCAAAACTTTGCGAGCTGCCCGAATGCCTTTCCCTGCCCTCCGCCTGCCCGTCCCTCACCATACTTACCATCGAAAACTGCCCGCGCCTGCCTTCCCTCCTCACTCTTCCTCCCAGCCTGCACACCTTAAAACTTCACAATCTTCCCAACCTGTCAGCCATCTGCGATCCACTGCGTGCCCACTGCCTGTCGCTCTCGGTACTCGTTATAAACCAATGCGCCAACCTCCATTCTGTGCCGTGCTTCCCGTCGCGCAGCCTGTCGCACGTGGAGATTCGCAACCTCCCTAATCTCACAGCACTCACAAGCCCTTCTGCACTCCTCAACCCCTCCTCCTCCTCCCCTCGCCTCTCAATCCTTGCAATCGAAAACTGCCCTCTCCTTGCTATAAACTCTATAAACGCCACTGCACGGCCCCCGTTGGCGTTCAAGTTTCCAAGCCTGAGCGAGCTATGGCTGCACGACCTGCCGCTGCTGCACGAGCTCCCTCCCTCCTTCTCCTGCCTCTCCTCCCTGCAGCGCTTGGTCATCACCCGCTGCCACGGGCTCAACGCACTCCCTGACTGCCTGCCACAGCTCCCCTTACTGCGCGACCTTGCCCTCGTGGTAAACCACAACCTCACCATCCCCACGGATTTCCTGCCGCACCTGCACTCGGTGCGGCGCCTGGTGGTGCATCGGGGGCGTGAGAACAAGACAATCATCGCGCATCACGGGAGGGTGAGGCCGCAGTTTGCGCTGCCCCCGCGGGTGAAGGAGCTTCACACAGATGACTTTGGTAGCGAGGTGTTGCGGTTGCATGAGCTGGAGAGACTGGAGGTGATTGGGGAGAACCTCGCAAAAGTGAGTATCAACGAGATTGAGGTGATGGAGGAAGTGATGAAGGGTAGCGGAGAAGGTGGGTGGAGGGATGCAGAGGAAGAGGAAAGCAGTGGCAGATTTGTTGCGTGGGTGGCCAGCGTCTTGGACAGCAGCCAGAGCACTGATGTCGGCAGCAGCAGCAGCAGCAGCAGCAGCAGCAGCAGCATCGAGATAACTAGCAGGAGCAGGAGCAGCACTAGGGAGCATGGAAACAAGCGACTTTTGCCTTGCTTGAAACGGCTGGCCCTTGTTGACTGCTTTGTTGGCCCTCGCTTCCCTCCCTGGATGCGCCATCTCACGTCCCTGCAGCACGTATCTCTCACCCACATCCACCGGTACGATATGTTCTTCTGCCCGTCGGAGCAAGTCAGAGATTTCCAATTCCGACGCGTCGTCCAAGCTTATTCGCCGGAGGAGGAGCATTGGGAGAATCTTGCGTCACTGCAGCGGGTTGAGAGATGTGCGTGCTGCCCTATTTCCGTACCGTCGGAGTGGCAGCGGCTTGTGTGTGTGGTAGATGCAGCAGTGGCAAAGGCAGCAGCTTGCGGGTATGATGTGATTCGGGGGGAGGCAGCTGTTTGCGGAGGTGATGTGATGCGACGGGCAGAGTTTGTGCTTGGAGACTTGGGAGGAAGCAAGTCTAGTCTCTAAAACGACCCTAGGCCATTGTTCAGCCCAAGAAAACGAAGATCCTGGATATGTTAGGAATAAAACATTCCGACAGTGACCCTTCCGGATGGGCAAAAGGGAATCACCGTATGCGCCCTAAAATGTTTGTCCACTATACAGTTCCACATGAAGTATAGTACATTGGACCTGGGAGTCACTTCCCCATTGAATTTCACATTAGTAAGATTATTTCAATTAGTTGTTGATCATTCACGCATTAATAAATTATCTACTAAGGAATTGGGTGGACTTGTGTCCCCCATAGTAACTTGCAGCTTGTGTGCACTTTATCAGACTTCCCAGGAAAGATCTTGCGATGCATGCCCTGCCCCTGAGCCTGCAGCAGGACCTTCTGCAACTCCGCAAGCACCTGCTGCTTATTCTCCATGTGCCGGCACAGCTTGCGCCCGCGCTTCTCCACAGCCGCAAACCGCTCCAGTGTTTTCTCAGCCCGCGCAAGGAGCCTCTCTGCCTCCTGCACCTGGACATGAGACTTTTCCACTGCCGCCTCCACCACACGTGCCTCCATACCCGGCCACCCCTTCTCCCCCTTCTCCGCCCTCTCCTTGCTCTCGCCCTGCTCCAGTACTGCAACCATCTCCCAGTAAACCGCTCCTGTCACCTGCTGCAGTGCTGCCCGTGCTGCCTGCACCTGCCGCTGCAGCTCCTCCGAGCATCCCGTCCCTCCGCTGCCCACCTTACCCCCAGCCGCACCCGTACCTGCTCCAGTGGCCCCCACAGCAGCAGCAGCGGCCCACAGCAGGGGCGAGCTCATCCACTTCCTCAGCCGGCTCGGCTCACTGCCACTACCACTGCCACCGAACACACTGCCCCCCCCGGCACCCGTGCCTGAGGCTGGCACGGGCAGGTACGACGCGTCCCGCGTGTGCGTGCGCGTGGGGGTGTGAGAGGGCGTGTTGGTGAGCGTGCGGGTGAGTGTGCGGGTGTCAGTGAACGACTGGGTGTGCCCCCTGGGAGTAGACACGTTGCTGGAAGGTCCAAGAGCCAGCGCCAGACGGGTGAGACTGGCGCGTGAGTTGAGGAGCGCACTCGGCCCCTCGCCCCCATCCTTGCCACCACCACCCACGGCCCTGCCATACCCACCGCCGCCGCCACCGCCACCGCTGCTACTGCTGCTGGCGGGAACAAGACTCACCACAGCCGCCATCTCCTCAATCGCCCGCCGCCTCGCCTCCCCATGCTGAGGCGCCATATCGCCTTCTTTCCCCCCGCCGTCACCCTCCCCCTCTCCGCTGCCCTCGCCCGCCGCCATCCTCACAAACAGCTGGTCGAGGGAGTCACTCTCTGATCGCTCGCTGCCTGCGGCACACCACTGCCCGCCCTGCCTCGTCTGCTCCGACGGCCCGCGCCACATGCCCTGCTGCCCCCGCCCCTCCTGCTCACGTCCCCCCTCCCTTTCCACCACCTGCTTCCCCTTCCCCTTCCCGCTGCCCCCACCGCCTCCTACTGCTGACTTGGCCCTCCTGTGCGCCCTGCTGCTGCTCTGCTCCTCTCTGTCGCCTCTCTGCTCGCCAGCACTGGCGCTAACACCGACACTGCCACTGGTACTGGCAGAACGGCCGTGGAGCACCCCTACGGACCAGCCCTCCCCACGTGATGGGCCCATGCTGCTGCCTGCCTCTCCGTATCGTTCCCCCTCTTCCTCCTCCTCCTCATCCATCTCCTCCTCTCCATCCTCGTCCTCGCTCTCGCCGTCCTCCTCATCCCCATTCTCAGCACTCTCCATGATCTCCTCCTCACTCCCCCGGACCTCCTCTCCTTCTCTCGTCCCCAACAGCTCGTCAGCTTCACGTCCCCCACTCTCCTCCCCCCAGCTTTCGCCCCCCAGCACACTCGTCTCCACAGCCCCAATCCCAGCCTGCCCGTCACACGTGGCCGCCACAACAGGTGCACCCTCGTCCTCGTCAGCAGCAGCTGCATCATACCACCCCTCCTCTGATCCACTCTCGCTCAACACCTCCCCTTCCTCCACCTCCTCGCTCTCCTTCCTTACACTTCTCTCGTTCTCCTCGTGCTCATCTTCCGCCCTTCCTCGCTCATCACATCTCCTCCTCTCTTCCCGTTCTTTTTCACCATCCTCTCTACGTTTTTCCTCCTCTCTCCTCTCTTCCTCCATTCTCCTCTCTTCCTCCTCTATTCTCTTGTCGTCCTCCCTTCTCTCTTCCTTCTCTCTTCTCTCTTCCTCCTTTCTCCTCTCTTCCTCCTCTCTCCTCTCTTCCTCTCTCCTCTCTTCCTCCTCTCTCCTCTTTTTTTCCTCTTTCCACTTCTCCTGCTTTATCCTCTCTTCCTCTTCTCTTCTCTGCTCTCTTCTCTCTTCCTCCTCTCTCCTTATCTCTTCGTCCCATCTTCTCTTCTCATCTTCCTCATCCTCCTCTCCTCTACCATCCATGACGCGCTCCTCTTCACCCACCCACACGCCCTCGCGCATGGGATCAACGCCACGCCTCCCCGCACACCACCTGCCCTCGTCCCTGCTGTGTCCAGTATTTCGCTCCTCCTCCACCTCCACCGCCTCGCCTCCCTCCTCCGACCACTCATCCTCCTCCCCAGCAACGATCCCTTCCGCCAGCACCCCAATCAGCCTGCTTCCCTCCTCCTCCTCCCCTTCCCCCTCCCCATCCCGCTGCCTCCACTTCCCCCGCGCGCCCCTCCGCGTCCCCCTGCCCGCGCGGACCTTGAGCAGCAGCAGCTTCAGCGCGACGCACAGCTGCAGCGCGCCCTGCTCCAGCCAGTTGCTCTCCTCCGCGCGCTCGCACACCCTCTCCGCGTCCCGCACCAGCGCCCCCACCTCCCCCGCCAGCCACTTCGCCCCCGCCCCTGCCTGCCTGCCGCCCCCCTCGCCTGCATGCGCCATGTGCTTTGCGCACCCCTCTCTGTGCCTCGCTTGCCCCTTGCCGCCCATGACGCCCTCAGTGGGACCGCCTTCCACATGCCCACCACCACCACCATACCCATCGCCATCGCCGTCAGGATGAGCGTGCCCCCCTTGCCAGCATTCCTCCTCACACTCTCTGCTCTGCCCCCCTTGCCCACCGCACTCCCCATCCCCAGGTCCTCCCTCCACACAACTCCGCCCCTCCTCCCCACCGCCGGGCATCACAGGTCTCCCGTCCCTCTCCACGCGCCTCCCGTCCCTCTCCACGCGCCTCCCGTGCCTCCCCACACACCACCCGTCCCCATGCGGGCAGCACGGGCACGTCTCCGGCGTCTGACCCGGTGCCATCTCTGCTCTGCTTGAAGTGGAACGAGAACTCCGATGCTGTCTCCGTCTCCTCGTCTGTCTCTGCCTCCGCCCACTCCCCACCGCACCTCACCGCCCCTTCCCCGTCCCCTTCCGCCCGCCTCTCCCCCCGCCCCCAATCACCTGCCCTCCCCTCGCGCGGAGTACACCTTCCCGCCGTGCCTCTCGCGCCCCCCCACCCACCCTCCGCGCGCTCACACGCGCCACCCTCCGCGTCCGCGTGCCTCGTGCCCGCCGCACTCCGTCTGCTACATCTCGCGTCGTGGCTGCTGCTGCTGCTGTTGCTGCTGCTGCTGCGACCCCCCACCCCCGCGCCGTTCCCCGACGCGGCAGCGTGAATCATCTTTTCCCTGAACCCACTGCACAGCCCTCCCATGCTGTCCGCGCTGCTGCTCACACTCACACTCAGGCTGATGCTGCCGTCCACGCTCTCCGTCTCGCACTCATTCCCGCTGCTCCGCCTCTCCCTTCCCGCGCCCTCTGCGCCCACCCCCTCATGCGCGGGTGCAGGCGGGCGGGACCACCCCCGCCACTTGCTCACCACGTCTGCTGCGCCCTCCTCCCTCTCCCCCTCGCCCCTTTCCGCCTTGCCCAGTTCCACCGCCCCCATCTGCCCCGCCAACCCCGCCTTGCCGTGCGCCTGCGCCTGCGCCTTGCCGTTCCCCCGCAGCTCCGCCAGGAGCTGCGCGTGCGCGAGCCTGAGCGCGCGCAGGGACTGGTCGGCGCGCTCCTCGCGCTCGATGGCGACCATGGCCATGGCGTGCGTGGCGCTCACCTCCTCCTCCATCTCGCTAATCAGCAGCCGGAACTGCTGCTCGCGCTGCGCCGCCGACCCGCACAGCTGCCGGATCTGCTCCTCCAGCTCCGCCACCTCCTCCCGCGCGCGCCGCAATTCCTCCTCGCCCAGCGCGCACGCGTCCTGCGCCGCCTGCGCCGCCGCCTCGCTCCGCTCCGCCGCGCTCTCCGCTTCGCTGGTCTGCGCCAGGAGGTCCGCCACCTGCGCCTCGAGCCCCGCCACCTCCGCCTCGAGCCCCGCCACCTCTCGCTCCAGCGCCGCCACTCTTCTCTCCGCCGCCATCCTCCGCCAACACTCCGCCTCCGCCTCGCGCTCCGTCGCGCGCGCCACCTCCTCCTCCGCGCGCAACGCGCAGTGCAGTTCCGCGATCTGACGGGCAAAGGGAGTGAGGAAGGGAGGGATGCGCGGACGGGCGCGGGGGAACGGAACGGAAAAGACACGGTGGAGAGACGAGGCTACTATCACAGGCACGGACTTCTTGAGACACGTACTACGCGCCGCGCGTGGCTCGTGTTAGGAGCGTGACGTGACAAATACCTTGCTGTTGAGTTCCTTTTCCTGCTCTCGCAGCCCCTTTATTTCTCGCCAACATGCGCCAAGCTGCTCCTCTAACGACTTGCTGCACCCTTCCATCTCCGCGCTTCCTTCTCCCGCCACATCCAGCTCCGCACACCGCCGCTCTCCCCGTCCCTCCGATTCCCCTCGCCGCTCTCTACCGCTAAACGATGCGCATCTTTCCGCCATCGCCCAACTAGCCCCCGCCTCGTGCCTTCCTGCCGACCGCTCTTCCCGTCCCTCCGATTCCCCTCGCCGCTCTCTACCGCTAAACGATGCGCATCTTTCCGCCATCGCCCAACTAGCCCCCGCCTCGTGCCTTCCTGCCGACCGCTCTTCCCGTCCCTCCGATTCCCCTCGCCGCTCTCTACCGCTAAACGATGCGCATCTTTCCGCCATCGCCCAACTAGCCCCCGCCTCGTGCCTTCCTGCCGACCGCTCTTCCCGTCCCTCCGATTCCCCTCGCCGCTCTCTACCGCGAAACGATGCGCACCTTTCCGCCATCGCCCAACTAGCCCCCGCCTCGTGCCTTCCTGCCGACCGCTCTTCCCGTCCCTCCGATTCCCCTCGCAGCTCTCTACCGCTAAACGATGCGCATCTTTCCGCCATCGCCCAACTAGCCCCCGCCTCGTGCCTTCCTGCCGACCGCTCTTCCCGTCCTTCCGATTCCCCTCGTCGCTCTCTACCGCTAAACGATGCGCATCTTTCCGCCATCGCCCAACTAGCCCCCGCCTCGTGCCTTCCTGCCGACCGCTCTTCCCGTCCTTCCGATTCCCCTCGTCGCTCTCTACCGCTAAACGATGCGCTTCTCTCCGCCATCGCCCAACTCGCTCTCGCCTCGGGCGTTCCTGCCGGCCGCTCGCGTGTCCTAACTTCTCCGCCAGCTCGCTCGTTAGCGCCCATCGCATCCTCGCGCCGACATCACAACATTGTTGTTGAGGGTGGTGCTGTACAACAAAATGAAATAGGGACTTTGGTGCCGTTGTCCGCAGTGGATGTACTGTCCGTGGGCTCTACCTACAAAGCTGCTCGCGGCACCTCGTACGAACCTTGCTTGTCGAACCTACTGTACCAGAATGTAGACTCGGGAGAATTTACAGCTTTGGTAGTGGCACCTGTTTGTGGGCTCTGCAAGGGGGCGAATCCAACCGGAGTGCTGGAGCCCCCAAACTTCCACACCTTCCTCCAAATCACAGTCAGGTCAGGTGGGGTGACCTGGTTTGCTCGTTGTCGTGATAGGCAGTCGAGGTTTTGAAAAGCGGTTGGAAGTTGGAGGGGCAAGGGCAAGGCTCGGCTCGGGCCGGTCGGTGTGACCTTCGCTTCGCGCTGAAAGGTATTTTCAAAATCTCCCGCCATTTCCCGGAACGGAGCAGTCAACGGCTCCCATCGGACTGGTTTGGTCTGCTGGTTTTGAAAGGCCTCGCGGATTTGGCGCGTTTCCCCAGTTCTGACGAGCCCCAACCAACCACAGGCGAATTTTCTCCAGTCAGGGTAGCTCCCTGACGACATATGACTCGCGAAGAAAAACGAGGTTACGAATTTCGTCCGCCGTCGATAGGTGTACAGTTCCGTGTACGGTATCGCGTCAGTTGCGCAACGTAGGCACAACGAAAACGGTGGAGGAGTGTAGTTGCCCATAGCACGTTTGCCCATAGCGTTGGCCTGGGAAGTTATGGGCGTCAAACTGTGTTCTATATCTGTTGGCTGTAGTGGAGTAGCCTCTACTGAGTACAACACTTTAGGGTTCAATCCTAATACTAATACTCATCCTTGCATCCTAATCAATTATTCCTGCATGTTAGTTCTGACATGGTATTCAGAGCGGTTCCATTCTGCCCGTTTGTCCTGCCCGAATCGTGCTCTAGGCGAGCCGTTTTTCCTGCCCGAATCGCGCCCCCATGCGAGCCAATTTTCCTGCCCGTATCGCACCCCTAGGCGAGACGTTTTTCCTGCCCGCAATGCGCCCCTAGGCAAGCCGTTTTCCCGCATAAATCTCGCCCCTAGGCGAACAACTTTTCCTACCCGAATCGCGCCCCTAGAAGGGTCGTTTTCCCGTGCGACATGCAGCCCGCGTGCTGTCCTGCTCTGCAGCCCGTGTGCCGCCCTGCCCTGCAGCCCACACGCTACCCTGCCCTGCAGCCCACACGCTACCCTGCCCTGCAGCCCGCGCGTCGCCCTGCCCTGCAGTCCGCGCACCGCCCTGCCCTGCAGCCCGAGTGCTACCCTTCCTGAAGCCTGCGTGCCGCCCTGCCCTGCAGCCTGCTCGCTGCCCTGCCTGCAGCCCACGATCTGCCCTGCCCTGCAGCCCGCGTGCCCTGCAGCCAGCGCGCGCCACACTGCAGCCCATGCTACCCTGTCGCCCACGCGCCTGTGCTGCGCGCGCCCTACACGCCTTGCTGCCCATGTGCCCTGCTACTAGCGCGTTCTGCTGCCCTCGCACCCTATTCACCTCTACAGCCACTCCTACAGTCGCTACTGCTGTTGCAGCCACAGCACCTGCCCTTACAGCGACTACCGATACTACTACAGCTGTAGCTACAGCAGTCGCTATTGACGCCCTTTCGCCGCTGCTACTGACTGCCACTTCCTGTCATGGCCATTATCAGGATCGTCAATAAGAGATTCTATCGCCGTAACGACTTCGAGAGTGGGTTATTTGGCGAGGCCGCTCTGGTGCTGGAGCTTGGGACTTTGGAGGTGCTGCAGGTAATGGACAGCAGCGACAATCTCGTCGCCATGAGACTCTCTCGCCACATCAGTTTCGTGAGTGGAGGTTATGTTGCTGGAGGTACTGGACAGCAGCGGCAGCAGCGTCAGCAGGAGACCCTCTCACCGCTGCAGCTTCGCAAGTGGGTTTCTTGGCGACGAGTCCCTAGTAGTGCAGAGGCTGCTAGTCTAAGAGATTGTGAGCCTGGTAGCCTTGGTGCAGCTTCCGTGGAGGTTTTGCGCATCTTTACGCTTGACCCAGGCGCGACTCGCTGCTTCTTCCGCGGCTGCACCACGATCACACCACTCACTGCACCTGTACCGGTCTCTCTGGCAGACCCCTCTGGGGGATCAGTTGTATCACGTGCCTCCACCATTCTCCCTTGTCCAGCAGCCCCTCCAGGCTCCCTTATAGGTTTCCACCTCCCCTCGTTCTCTACGAACTTGGTGAGTAAAGCTATCCTCCAGAACCAGTTTGTCACTGTGACAACTCCTGGGGGTGAGCTTGTGGTGATCTGTACGGACTCACGCACTTGCGAGCACCTCGCCACTTTCACTCGGAGGCCTAGGTTGGCCTGTATACACTGACCACTGTGTCTGCACAGGTAGCTACGTCAGGTCAGGTGGCTGCGTTGGCTCAGTTAGCTGTGTTTTGTTCGTGTCAACTCCTCACATACCAGACTCTCCTCTAGCACCACCGTCTTGGTCACCCCCTCTCTGCCCCGCCTCTGGGGCATGCACTATCGTCTCCTAGACTTTGGCCTCCCTAGGTCCTTGCCCCCACTCCCATGCCCGCCTGCGCTGCCGTGCCTTCCCTGCGTCGAGGGGTAGCAATGCGCCACTCCTTACTCCTCATCGTTTTTGTCGACCATTGCTCCTCTGCAGACTCTCCACATGGACGTGTGGGGCCCAGACCGCATACTTCCTCCTGCTTGTTGATGACTACACGCGCTACACCACGGTCTTTCCCTTGCAGAACAAGGTGGATGTCCCCAATGTTTTGATCCCCTAGATCACCCCTATTCATCGCCAGCTGAGAGCGCGGTTTTAGTAGGACCTCCTAGTCCTACGGCTACACTATAACAGAGGCGGTGAGTTTTCCTCCCGCCTCCTTGAGGGCTTTTGTCATGCTGAGGGCATCATCTAGTTGTTCATGCTTCCGGCCTCTCTATAGGAGAATAGGATTTCAGAGCGCCGCATTGGCTTGATCATGGAGGTTGCTCGCACCTCCATGATCCATGCGGCTGCTACTCATATTCTGTAGCTATTTGCGGTCCGATACACCGCGTATCAGCTCAACCTCTGGCCCCATGGCTCCGTATCAGAGGCCTCACCTGTACTGCATTGAACGGGGAAGGTTGGCGATGCATCGGCGTTTCGGGTCTGGGGCACACTCTCCCTTGTCCACGATACCACCGCGGACAAGCTCTCTCCTCGCACTCCCCGCAGTGTCTTCCTTGGCTTCCCCACCGACGCCCCGCCCAGGTAGTTTTATCACCCTGCCTCGTGCCGGGTCCTGTCCTCACATGACGCCACCTTTCACGAGCCAGTCTGCTTCTACCGTCTCCACCTGCGGACGTCTTCTCCAGTCTCCCCGCCGCCCCTCGTCCTGGTCCCAGGTCCCCCCCCGGTAGAACCGCTCCTTCCACGGGGTCCTGCTCTCTCAGGTGTGTCTCAGGTTGAGCCTTTGGAGGTCTCTTGTGACACCTCTGGCCCAGCTGAGTGGGGTGACCCCGCTGCTGACAACACAACGACTACTCGTCACTCCCCGCCCTTGAAGACCCCTCCTGGTTTTCCGCCTCGGCCGTCTTCGCCGCCTTCGCAACCTTTAGCTGTGGACTCTGGTGCTGCTGGGAATGGTGACACGTGGGGTGCAGACTCTGGAGGTGCTGGCCCTGGGGTTGCTGACTCTAGAGGTGCTAAGTCTGGGGGTGCTGGTTCTGGGGGTGCTGAGTCTGGGGGTGCTGCGAGTCCGAGTGGTGGTGGAGCCGTTGGTGCTCCTACTGGAGGTCCTGGCGTTGGACCACTGTAGCAGTCTCGTCAATAGGAGACCCTCTCGCCGCAGTAGCTTCGCGACTAGGTTGTTCGACGGGGCCGAGTTGCTGGAGCTTGGAGTACCGGTCATGGAGGTACTGCAGCTGGAGGTGCTGCTGGTGCTGGAGGTGCTGCTGGTGCTGGAGGTACAAGAGCTGCTGGTGCTGGAGGTGTTAAACTACGAAAAACTAAGAACCTGACGAAGTGCTGAGTCAGGTGGTGGCAGGAATATCTGCGGCAGCGGGTGGAAGAACGGTCGGCGCGGCGCAGTATCCGTACTGCCAGCAGCTCCAGCACCTCCAGCTCCAGTACCTCCACTACCACCAGCCCTAGCACATCCGGTACCTCCACCTCCAGCACCTGCAGTACCAGTAGCTCCAGTCCCCCGAGACCTCTAGCTCCAGTATCTCCAGTACCTCCAGTACCTCTAGCTCTAGTACCTCCAGCACCAACAGCTCCAGTAAAAGACAGTAAAAGGGAACCGACTCGTCGAACGTGATGTCATGGGAGGACAAGACACGGCGCGAGGTGGGGTGGTAAAACTGCCAGCCAGGCGCGTCAGGGGGGAAGCCAAGGAAGACACAGGGAATGGCACGGGGGGAGAGCTTGTTCGCGGAGGCATCGCGAACAAAGGCACGAGCGCCGCAGACCCGGAACAATGACTCATTGCCAACCTCCCCCGTCCAACGCAGTGTAGGCGAGGTCTCCGGCAAGGAGACACAGGGCCAGAGGTTGAGCTGATGCGCAGCGTACCTGACCGCAAACGGCAAAAAAAAAATGGGGAGAAGCTACAAGGATAATGGAGGTACGAGCCACCTCCATGACTAGGCCAATGCGGCGCTCAGCAACCCCATTCTGCTGCGGGGAGGCCGGAAGCGTGAACGACTGGTGGATGCCCTCCCCACGACAAAAGTCCCGCAAGAGGTCGGAGGAGAACTCACCACCTCTGTTAGAGTGCAGACGCAGGACAGGAAGGTCCGTGCGGAACCGCTCGCGGAGCTGGAGACGGACAGCGCGGATCCAAGGGATCAAAACATCAGGGACCTCCCCCTTGCTGCGCAAGGGGAAGACCGTGGTGT